GATTTGTTAAAACAAGTAAAAAGGCCGTTACAATAGTCTAAACGAGAAGAAATAAAAGCATGAATAATCATCTCAAGTTCAAGCTTTGATACCATTAGTCTGAGTTTAGAGATATTCCGTAAATGATAAAAACAGTTTCGGACCATATAGCGAACTCCCAACTCTTGAACCACGATATTTATGCTTTTACGTAGTGAAAATGGAGGCTGCTCACATAAATCAAACCAAAAAGTAACAGAAAAGGTTAAATGAAAGAGTTCTTTCTATCTCCTCAACTCCTCCTGGTCTCCTGCCTCTCTCCTAATGCAGTTTTTTTCCTTATAATTCCCTGTGCATCGGAAAAATCTCAACAATCATATTTGCCCTGGTTAAAAGTTAAATAAAAAATGGATTCTTGTATCAGGATGTGACAAGCTGTAAATTAGAAAGTGTTTTCAAAGAGACACAAAACTGCAATACAGTGAAAAAGTCTGTAATTTTCCAGGTCACAGGTAAATCAAGTTAAGCGTGTGTTTGTGTGCTTATTGGGTAATCTATCAGGTTTGTAAAGTGATCTGATTTAAAGTCTTATTAAAAAACATTGTTTTATTGTGTAACATTCTGCTCATTTATTTATGTATAACAAGTTTAAAAATGGTTAAATGCTGTGTTCTGGATCCTGTCGGGGGAATTCCTGCTTATAAAGAAAGAAAGAAATCTTAGAAGCGTAAATCAGGTCAAGACTTTTCCTTTATCACATATTTTACATGCACAGGAAATGTGATTGTAACAGGATTTCACACAAAAGACCCACAGCTGTGATTCTCGGTCTTTTTACAGTCTTACTCCTCTTTATAAGTTCAGGCTGTGCCTCGAAGCTCCTAAAGGGATTAACACTCCCCTGGTGTTAACAGATAAATAGCAGTCTGCTGGCCTGAACCCTCCATTTTCCAAGAAACAAATTATGTGAAACATTAAATTATGATTTATTATCTAACATCTAACAATCCTTCCAAGGAATTTTCTCATGTAAAACTGTTTAAAGTCTCAATTTAGGCTTAAAACAGCAAAGTTATGCATTACAAGAACAAGAAATAGTTTCGACGCTGTTCACAGTTACAACTTAAAGCTGCAAAAAGTCATTTGAGACTTTACAGATTTAAGGCGCTATTGAGCCATATCGCTTCTTAAAGTGTTAATTAAAAAAATCTGTTGGCTGCTGGGACAAAATACTTTGTGAGCCAGTCAGTAAAGCTCTGAAGTCGCTCGCCAAAGACGGCTAAAAATACCGCGTCATGGATGCCTTTCAAAATAAAAAAGCCTTCTTAATTTAGCCTTAATTAAGTTTCCATCAAAGGGTGATTCTTCTCTCTGTTTATTTTAACTACATTTACACTGTTACGGCTCACTACTGTTAAATAAATATCAGCTGCTGTTGCTTCAGTCAAATCTAGTTTTAATCAGGACGTTTTGAGTTTGGATTTCTTTGCTTTCTTTGTGTTTGACGTTTTTGATTTTTTTGATTGTGTTGTTGTGTTTGTGGTTTATGGC